CTCAACGCCTCATGACCAAAAGACTGTATAGTTTTCTATTCCACGGCTTAGCTACCCAAACTGTTGAGTTTGCGCTGAAGTCAGGGTAATTTGTACGCTCTTTGTTGACATTTGCATTTTATTTATATGTTGACCAAAATTCAGAATGGTACGGAATGCCATGTGAATAAAGTAAATACACGGTCGAACTGATTTCAAACCGTTATTGCCTCGCATGTCCCAAAACTCAGTTTCTCAGGAAGTTCTTAACAAGTTGATTGACATCGCGTCTGACAGGTGCTAATGAGACGATGAAATTTTCACCCATAAAAATAGCTCTACTTTTTATCTGGCGGGAAATACCTCCCCCTAGGCTGTCTATAGGGACGCGACGCTAGCAGTACACGCTTGGTTAGGCTTACCAGCCATCACTGAGAATCAGAAAAGCTCCATGAAGGGATACAAAGTCCAAACAACGTTCAAACCTACCATCGAATAGAAAAAACAGATCCACACAATGATCGCATGATATGGGTCCAGTAAGTACTTATCACCTGAACGGATATCACTATCGTCACGAATTGGACCTGCTTGAATAGAGTAGGAAACAGTAGGCGCTGTTAATTTTTATTCTTCAAGTGGATACGAACAAAGGTGACCACAATACAACCGACAACAATCACGGTCAGTAAAATCGCGCCTTAACCACTTTAGCCATCTCGCCTGGTAGTAACGGCGATATCAGATTTTGACCGGGCAAGACACAGTTGAGAACTTACAAGTCGCAAAGCCCGACAGATCGGGATAGAGCAACTTCAAAAAACAGGCAGTAGGCAACTACACCATTCGCTGGCAACAAGATCATAACTAATGCAGAATACTTGCGTCTACACAGTGGATCTCCTAGCACACCAGTCTGTTAATAGTCCTTTCAGGCTCGCAACAGCGGTAAAATAATCATCCACAATTGTATTCGTCAAGGTTTCCTTCCCGAAGATGGTTTCAAGTTGAAATCAAATTCCATATTTTGCACCCATCATAGTAACGGGGCGAAATAAAATGCTCTCATGGGTCCGAATAGACCAGCCGACCGTAACTTCATGACCTCGGGCATGTACAACATAAGCGTGCTTTGGCTACGGTAAAATTCGTAGAGAATCCCGTTCAGCTGACTGAATGGATTTCTTTTTAATCTATTAGTGTGTGGCGAATCAATCATTCGGCCAGAGGCATGGTTGACTATCAGGGAATCGCCTGACTAGGTGCAGAGCTAAGTGTAGCTTTCGTTTAAGCACATTACCCACACCGTTTGTCTCCCACAAGTGAGCTGAGCGCGAGTGTGCAACTATAGATGACGCCTACGTTTCTCGTCTAATGCCTCTACTGTTTGGCGAGGGTGTGCCAAACTTATAACATCGGATGGTTGTGTGTTAATATGCCTCAGTAAAATATCGTCTGCCGCAAAGCTACGGCAATTTGGACGTGTTATTTAATAAGTTGAGTAAATCACTCATTTCCAACCTGAGTGATGTGGAGCATCGTTTCGAAAAGGCGAACGGAGTCGAATCTCCTCTGATGTGCACTGCTTCACAGCGGACAAATAAATAGACAACCTTGAAAGACATCTGTTGTCGGGAAGAGTCAGGTATTGCATTCAATTACCCTGGAAAGGCCGGCTAAGCATTTAATGATCATTTCAAGATCCTTAAAACAGCCACTCTTTCATTCTTCCACATTTTGTAGTGAACTTTCGGTTTGAATATAATACAACCAATCTCAGTGACAAAATTCACGTGCTCAAGTGATCACAGGATGGCTGGTTCGCAGCAACTACCTGGGACAATTCCGAATTACGATCTTGTGGTCCCCGTCGCACAACTATATGAACTGATTGTATAATGCCCCGAAGAGGCACAGCGTTAACGAAATTCCGAAAAAGAGCTGGGAGAATCCTGTGTAGTCAATGAAGGATGCATGCA